GCAAAACAAAAAAAAACAATAACTAAATCAATTTTCCATTTCATTTTCTATATAATTTTTGTTTCAATACTTTTATATTATTTATTGGATCTTCTCTTAATGGAAACTAACAAAAAAATTAGTCTTCATCTCAATAATATATAATATTAAGTATAATATTTAATTTCAACTAGTAACAATAATTAACTAGTACTTTATAAAAAGTTAGACAACACAGCCAATTTATTATATATGTATATTGTTACTGACTTAATTTGAAACTTTTTGATGTGAAATCATTATTAAAAAAAAAAGAAAAAAAACTATTATAGATTTCAGGTTCTTTTCAGAAACTTTTTGATATTATAAGATTAACACAATTTTATCAGACATTATTATAGGTTTTAGGTTGGAACTTTTTGATATTGAAAGGTCAACACAAGGCGTCAGATATGAACAGATCTATACCATGAGACATATATCTATACATCTGAGACAAACTATCGCTATCGCTCATATATTGGATTTCGAATATTAAAGTTACATTGTAGTAAAAACATTAAAAGACTTAAATAATTTTAAAACCAATCTTTACAGGATACATTGAAACAATATTTAGTGATGTATTATTAATTTGAACACACTTAGATAAGATTACAATATCACAGATCTTAATTGATACACACCTCAATTATGTAAACCAATTGCTAAAATAGTTTATATAGTTTAAACATATGTATGCTCTTTTCTTAATTAATACCCGCAGAATAAGAAAAGAACAATTGTACAACAAGATATATATAGGTCGATCTGAAGTTAAAGAGTCAGAAGAAAGTAAAAAACTTTATTTCATAACAAAGACTCCGGGCTGCTGAGTAAGGTGCAAAGTTTCTATTATAATCAACAAATTATTTTATATTAATATTTTTTAAGTTCGTGGTGCTTATATTATCAAGAGGATAATTCGTGGTGCTTACATAGGAAAATGGATAAACTAGCATTCTAAGTTAATTAGAAAAAAATTAAGAATTAATTCGCTTAATTATTAGTTTCTTGCTTCATTAATATTGATAGCTGATATGCACATTCACGCAATTTGTTTATTACGATATCTAATAGGCATTTTTAATTAATTAATCTACTTAATTTTATTAAATTAAATACAAACTTAATTTAAGTGATAGTATATAGAATATATATTATTATTTAAGTTAATTAACATTTTAATGATCATACGAAATTGTATCAAATGAATGACAAAATTGTATCAAAACACATATTTCCTACGGAATATTGTTCATTAACTTCTATATATATTTATATATATATATTATATAGTATTATACATATAAAATATAGTATTATGTATATATTATATAGTATTATATATATAATATATAGTGTTATATATAAAGTATTATAATATATATATAATATCAAGTATTATATATAGGGTTACAGTTGAATGCTTAACCCATTGAACTGTTTAATTTTGACAGAGTGTACTGCACGATTTGCATTATCTCTGGGTCTTCAGTTAAAAAGAAATTTTATTAAAATCTGTATTTATCCCTATTTCTGTATAAATTAAACTCAAAAATGTCTTCCTCGTAGTAGACTTACTATTCAGTTAGAATACCGCTTTTTGTAACTGAATATCTAAAGCTGTCAAATGGAATCTCTAACTTTGTTAAAGATTTTTCAATTCTTAAGTCTGACAGTATATTTATTGGATTATTTTACCTTAAATATGCGTTTTTATATTTATTATAAATATAATACCAGATAATACATATATGAGTACACTTTTATTGATCACTTAACACATTCCTAAGACAACTCTGTAAGTTGTCCTCTTTCCATAACTCACGCGTTCTAGTATGACGACGTCTAGCAAATTATAGTTTGTGCTTAATATTAATAATTATATTTTACATAAATAAGTGAATGTGAATAACAGATATTGTTTGCGTAAAATAAAACAACATTATTCCGAGATGAGTCACATAAGATTTACTAGAAAAATACATGGAAAATAAAGTTCATTTAGCGCGTTATCGAGTCGAGTATCGAAAAAAGCAAACAACTCCACCTTAAGAAAAACAAATTCTTGGAGATTAAATTATTTTCTACACAAGACAATTAAAATGTTTTTAATAAAAAAATATGTTATATACAAACAATAAGTAATTATTTGCATAAATTGATTAATGCATTTGTTTTATAGAAAAACTTCTTAAGTAAAATGTTTGGTAGACGCATTTTAATTTTTAGGGCAGTGCCCTTGCTTTGTGTGGATCTGGAGTTGGTTATTTGTTGTTATAAACAATCAATGAAGCTGCGCGTATGTCTTTTTAATTTATGCATATTTCTTAGCGGCAGACACAATGGAATTTTTATTCTTGACTTACCTTTAAAATTTGGCTTTTGCGAAAACTGAGTTCGTCATCGGCGGTTGCTGAGAAATCGTGTTTGGCAATTGCTTCCATTGTCGTCTTGTATTTGAATTCCTATTGCTGTGTTGTTGTTGTTGTTCTTGTTCTTGTTGTACCTGAATTTTTTGTTTATTTCTATATTGTGTTCCCGAATTCACAAATATATTGTATCAGACTTCGTTGCTTTATATATATGTATATATATAGATATATCTATTATGTTTCATAAAAAAAAAATTGGTGTTTGATTCTTTTCGTTTAGACTTAATTAATTGTTTCCCCCTTTTTTCGACTTAATAAAGTAATAAAGAACACACTATTTTCAATATAACACTAAAAGCAATTATTTATTTTTAATATTGCTCAAATGAATATCAAATTTTTTATTAATATTTTACATGCTATATATGATTTCCACTTTTTATGTATTTTTGCTTTTTTTCTTAATTCATTTCGCTGGGTTCTATTTAAGGAAATACGAAAATACTGACGAAAACCGAGATATAAAATGAAATAATCAGCATCGCATATGACTACACACGCACATAGTTGAACAACACTGCCAGCATAGAATTTTATTAAAGAAATTATTTTAACTATTTGAGAAATTTATGCAGTGTTGATATAATGATTTATGTATAATTAAATTAATAAAAGTGATTATGAAATTAAAAATGGTTAGTAATTAGTTGAAGTAAATTAACTTAAGTTATGCGCAAAGTTCTATAATAATTAATATATAAAATAGTACAGATAGTACAGTACGCAAAAAAATTTCAATTCAAGTGCTATAATTTCAAACTGGCAATGAAATGTTTCCTTTTTATTTACTTGTCTCTCCTATACACGACATTCGTTGAATGTTGTTGTTGTTCGGCATATTTGCATTACCTTTTAAGTCGGTATTATTGTTGTTGGTTTACAATGCCGGACGTATGAATTTTCTTACTGTATTTTGCTCTTTATTTTTTGTGAAAAGTTTTTTTAATAATTGAAAAGAAAATATTTTTAATAATCCCATTTTATTATTAGGAGTGCATTTATTTTTTTATAAATAACAAAAACTATTAGGTATTAATTATAATTTAATAAATGTTTTAATATATTAGTATTAATTAAAATAATTAATTGTTAATATGACATATTTATTAAAATGTTTTTGTAATTTTTACCGTTCTTAAGTCGTTTATTTAACACACAAAAATAATAAAAAAATTGCATTTATTATGTTAATATTTTTTATTATATTTTTAAAAATAATTAATAATTCAGATATTACGTCTACTTCGTCAAATTTAGAATCAAATAATAATTTTTTGCCTATGTGTACTGGAGGTGGTCTATGAAGTAGACCGAAATATTTGATTTATAAATATTTTTTAAAAATAGAAATAAATAAACGACCGGAACAAAAATGTAAATTAAAATATAATTAATTAACAATATAGTTTGAATTGATAGGTTTATTTAATTTTTTGTGCTCAAATTCAAATTTAAGTCTATATAATAATAAAAATAATAGATTTATTTTCAAAAAGAAATTGCCTATAAAAATGTGTAGAAATTATTCTGTTACACTGACTTTCCATCGGAAACTAATTGGAAAATAAAATTTAATATAAATAATACATAAATTTTAATTCAACAGAATTTAATGTTACTTTAAATGCATATAAACTAAATAATTAAATTATTCGAAATGAAAGTAAAAATATTTCATTGCTTCAAAATATAAAAAAAAGTTATTTAAGTAATGACAAGAAAATACACAAGAAAACATTTTATAATTATTTGAAATTTATTTAAAAGAAAATAAACACATAAATAAAAAACATAATTTAGTTCTGAAACTAATTTTTTAATTTGTTAATTCCCAATAAGTTATAAATTTTAATAAATGTTGTTGCGTGAAAATAATTAAAAATATTAGTTCAGTTTTTTACCGTTTGATTTTAATGGCGCTGTTGCCAGTATGTTGATTAAAAACAGTTAAGAGTCGAAACTTATTAGAAATTGTATTATTTATTATTTTAAACGGACATTTTTAAATAATTAAATTTATATTAATGTACATTAATTTTTATAGAATACTTTTTATTATAAAGCAAAGTTTTGTAATTTAATTTGTGATAGGTAAAAAAAGTCAAACTCAGCGCATAATTGAGCAATAGTCGTTGGCTACAATAGCCAGAAAAGTAAAAAAATTTTGTTAAGAGAATGCATTTCAGCAAAATTTCGCTTTATTTAAAGTCGTTGAATACTAATTGGCTAATATAATTAGACCATACTGAGCGCCGTTCAGCATGCTTGCCTATGCCCAAAAACTTGTCTATAGAGATACGAGGGGTGCCAGTTCGGTTATAGTCCACACGAACTCATTTTTTTTGAATTCCACAGTGCTCTCCAACTAAAATCAATGTATGTAATTATCTTAGTATCTTGGTATCTAATTGTTTTGGTATATAAGTAGTGAGATCTTCACACATTCAATTTTTTTTATTTGTATTAATTTTCTTATTTTTTTTCAAAGTAGAATAATATTTTATTGAATTTTATATTTTGTTACAAATGTTATAATAATTAACACTATATAGTTTTCTCTGGAACTGAAGACGGTGAGGGCATTTTGTTATTTATATTACTAAAGTAGAACTGTATTATTATGACCAAATATGTTGTTACAGCACCAATAATCTATGGGTAATAAAAAATGAGAGATAGACTGATATAACAAATGGAGTTTTAGGGTCTTACCGATGTTATAAGTTTGTAGTTCATATCGAAAAATCCCGCAGCTGTGAAGTTATTTTTGCGTTGCATCACTTCAATTGAAAATATTTGTATTATTTGATAAATCAAGCTCACTGGTTCCTCATCGCTTCGTGGTTTCAATTTATGTAGTAGAAGACCTGTAGTTGACATCTGAAAGTATAGAATAATATAAATTTTCATGTACATATAATAAAAGTATCTGGTTTTTGTAATATTCTAGAAAATTCTGCAATGGAACAGATTGATTGTTATGATAGAATATAGGAAGGTAGAATTTAAATAAGTTGAAAGAAAGAGAATATCAAATCAATATCAGTGAAATTATAATTTAATAGCTGATAACTTTTATAGGACATCTTGGTTTATGTAGTACTACTTTGCATAACAGAAGATTGCAGAAGAATTGAGGGTCGGAAAGAGAGTCACAGAGAGCTTTTCAAAACAGAGAAGTATAATAGCATACATGAAGAGATAAAGTCAAAAAGACAGAAGAGAAACGAAGAAAAAATACAGAGCAGGCGAAAAGAAGTGGAAGGTAGAAAGTCATGAGAGCCTAAGAAGAAAAAGAGATCAATTTCATGCTACAGAAAAATCTTTGTCAAGAAAATGGTTTGATTTTACTAAAAAACTGAAGAATCACAAAAAACAAAAAAAAATTGCTGTCAAATGATGAAAAACAGATAATGGAAGAATTGGATTTAAAATGGAATATGTGGATATAATATATAAAAATAATAATAAATAGATTCAAAAGAAAATGGAGAGGACTGATAAAAAATTAATTAGAAAGATAAAAAGGGGAGTAAATATTACGAGAGAGAGCGGGAGAGAGTGAGAGAGAGATATAGAACGATAGAGGATAAAAGAAATCATAGAGAGCATTATGAGATAAAAGCAAGAAAGTCTTAGATATAGATATGGATAGAGCTGAATGAAGTATGTTAGTATAAAAATAGCAAAAAGAATTATAGACCAAGTTAAACTACAAAAGAAACTAAGCGTCAAAGATAAAAGAAGTGAGATAGGATATTAGAGCAAAAGACGTAGAAACTATCAAAAAATGTAAGAAAAGTAATTAAAATGAAAATACAAACAAAGGAAAGGTAAGCAAGTCAATGATGTTATGATGTAGAGCAAGCGATAAGTACATCTGAATGAAGACAGAATTGGAAATAAGGATATTGGGGAAGAACTGGACACAGTAATGTGGATGTGATTAAGAAAGTGTAAAAAAAAGATACATATAAATAGAACATTACATGAAGCACAGAAAAAAGGAAAAGAGTACAACGGAAAAAAATGCAAAAAAAATTAAAATGAAAAAAAAATATGATATAAAACTCCGACTTACCGAATCCGCTGTGACGCAACAGGCCCTAACGTTCAGTCCAATTGTTGCAATTTGTAGTAGAATCCAAGCAACTATGAAAAATATCTGATAGGTAGGCATATCCAACGAGTGCACAATTAGGGCAAACAAATTATAGCTTTGCATTGTGATAACCGCAAACGAAACTGTAGTCATCAGCAACAAATGCCAGGAAAACATTTTCATCACCAGATCCACAGCATCTGCCGTGGTTATGTAAATTTGGAGCAAACTCTGTAAAATCTCAGAATGCAAATGCTCAACTCTTTCTTCACACAGAGATTTCGTGACTGCTGTCAGTGGAATTTCCGAAACTGAATGCAATGGTATTGCTTTTTTCGGATGAACACCTTTCACGTATATTTTTAACTTATTATTGATTGAATCAAATTTAGTTCTTAAAATTAATAATAAATTCAAAAACTGAAATTCCTTTAAGGATAGCAACAATATCGGCAGGAAGCATATAAACCAAAAACAAGAAGTAATAAAACCAAATGTCTTCGGCATTGGATGTATAATGACGCAATGACCCATGGATAATGTAATTGGCACTAATAGAGCAACGGCAAAAGTACGGAATAAACGACTCCGTAAATCGGTGTAATCGATTTTAATGCCGATAGTTGTTGTCAGCAAATGGTCGATTTTGTATATTAAATTGCATAGCTTCATCGTTCTTTTCAGGTTATACCAGGCGGTACAAATGGCAACAATGCCGAGCAGGAATAGTGTGACTACCTGAGCCCAACTACACACATACGATATGATGCTATTGCCATATAATTCCGAAAAATTCTGTAACTTATGTAAACGGTAGACACCAATGACAAATCCAGCTGTAAAATATAGTTATTCTTTATCATCTCATCGCAAAAGTATGTAATGTGATGTTGAAATATTTTACCAAAATATAGCACCGCACAAAAGAATAGGCTTACACAAGCCCACAGATCCAACTCGATTTTCGTGAATTTCTTATGCAAAAGAAATCTTTTTTCGATTTTTATGGGTACATAGCCCAAAAGTTTAAAAAATCGTAAGAAAGGATATAAAATATATGAAAAATTACTGCTTGGAAAATTTGAAAAAAAATATGATTTCAACATCGTCTTTATTAGATATCTCACTTTTGAAGGCACACCTTTATAGTTATAGACCGACAATGACCTTTAGATGTCACATTCAATATGCCAAGTAGCAACAAACTGTCCTAATCACTTAATTTTTGATTAAATTCAAGGTGCAAAAACGAATTGATTAAATTCAAATTAGCACTATTTAAGGGACATGCGCTATTTGCAACAGGTATACAGGGTGTGCAGAGAAAAGTCCCTCTAATGGTATGCTGAAATTTATATATCATTAGCTGCATTACTTTCTTGCTCTATGCACTTGTGTTGTATGTAAGTAAAATAAAATTTTACGGAAAAATAAAAGACATTATCCTGAGCACCTTCTCTATATACTTTATATATATGCATTTATTGATACCTTGACATCTATTTAGAATTTAAATTGCTTTAAGTTTAAATCTATAGTTCTGATTTTCTCTATTTTTCTTCTTCTTCTTTGCTCGATCAAATGAGAGTTAGTGTCTAAAGCACTTTTACTTTACAGTGTCTTTGACCATTTCGCTGATCCACTGTTATAAAAGTTTCATTGAATTCTGATAATGAGTTATTCAGATGATTTTATAGAAGTATACTCTTAAGCATAGCATATCTTTCTGATATATACATTGTGACCGAAAAGTTTCCGGTCATAAATAAATAAAACGCAAAATTCTTAATCTTCATCAATATTTATTTTATCTCCTTCAAATATGCTCATTAGAAGCGATACCAAATGCCACGTTTCTTCCAATCATCAAAACATTTTTTATAGGCGCTTTCCGGTATGGCTTTGAGTTCCCTCTGCGAATTCTGTTTTACGTCTTCTATGGATTCAAAACGCGTTCCTCTGAGTGGTAATTTGAGGTTGGGAAACAGGAAAAAGTCACACGGTGCAAGATCAGGTGAATACGGTGGCTGTTCGATGGTATTTATTGAATGTTTGGCCTTAAAATCGTTGATAATGTTGAACAAATTGAGGTGAATCGGAACAAGCCGGGCGTTGACACGTCGCATACACAAATTGTCCACCAAAATCAAACGAGCCATCTCACGACCGATGCCTAGCTCTCGTGCTATCTCTCTAACACTCACATGAGGATTTTTGAACACGATTTCCTTTGCCTTTTCAATGTTTTCGTCGGTGGTAGAGGTCGAAGGTCGTCCAGAACGCGGCATGTCTTCGACGGTCGTACGACAGTCCTGAAAGGCTTTGTACCACTCATAAACTTGAGTTTTCGATAAAACTGATTCCCCATAAGCCTTTTGTAGCATTCGCAACGATTCTGCACACGAAATTTCGTTCGAAAAACAAAATTTGATGCAAACTCTTTGTTCAATATTTTTTTCCATTGTTTTTTTCGCAACGCACTACTGAGGTGAACTGGTTTCAACAGCTGCCGTAAACGAACTGTCCGACAGAATCCCGGCTATTTTTGGCATAGTAATTAAGGGCAGTGTGCCAACTATAAACTTAAAATATCGAAAAATATACAGCGCGCGAATTTTAAATGAGAACCTCCGAAAACCTTTCGGTCACAATGTACTATGTATTAGTACGGAATATATATTGTATTTGACTTGAGAGAGTGCAATTCTAAATTATTGTGCGTTTTCACAGAATCAAAAGATTTCAGTACTCTAGATTAGATTAGATTATGCTGGCAGGCCATAAAGGCCACGCGTAGACCACTAAGGTCCATTGCGATACCAGATCAGAGTCTTGTTTTAGCGATTGTAAGTATCACTTAAGATGCGCGTTTCATTAGCAAAATTTATTAAGATTCCAACAGAAACCTCCAGTCCTGCAAAACTGAAAGCTTCCAAGTATTTTTGTCGAGTTCTCGAGAGAGCCGGGCAATTACACATCAGATGCTACATTCAGTGCTTTATCTTTGATATACTTTTGCACACTCTCGACTTTCAAGTCTCTGTATACGTCTACATTTCTGATGTACCATAGAGCTTTTAGCATATGTCTCAGTACAATATTTGGATGAGTTTGGAGTTTTCTAATGGTGGATGGAGCAACATCGCCATAAGTACCATAGCCATACAGTAGTTTACATAAAGAATACATGTTATTCGGTCTTATGTTTACTGGACTGCATATAATTAATATTTTAAACAGAACAGAAGTACATAGCGATCAAATGTAATTGGATAAAATTTATTAAATTAAAATAATTATATTAATAAATTATATTAATTTAGAGAAATTATTATAAAGATAAACACGTTATTGATTACAAGGTTCTATAACATAAGTATCCAAAAGTATATTGATCATAAGGTTCTATAATATAAGTATCCAAAAGTCGCTCGTTTTGTTCAGAGAAAGTTGGAGATTCCGGAGTCGTTCCCGGGTATAGCAGGAGGTATGGTCAAAATAAATATATAACCATTTTACATTACATCTGCAGATGATATCTATATATATCAGCGCAAAACAGTTTTTTTTATTAACAAATGCAATAGATAAAAGTCTCACGGTATTAAATTAGAAAATTATTAACAATTTATTTCAAAAAATTGGTTCACATATTTTTGTACTGTTTGAATAATGTCAAATATACAACTATATTAATCAAATACAAAGCTCAAAAGCTTTCCTTAGCTTTCGTTGATTACATTGAGTCTAAAATCTTAAAAACATTACATTGTTTACATTGTTTATTAAATTGTAATATTTTCGTAAAAATATGTTAACAATTTCAAAAGGGTATAATTTTCATTTAAATAGTTTTCTTTAATCATTAAAAAATTGCTACTAAACAGCACTTGTGTGAAGATCACAGCTAGTTAACTTCTGCAAAGCCAAACTATGTCTCATTTCACTTGGGGGCCATCTTTTTTATTTTATATATTCTATATTCTTTAGTTCTATCTTGAAGTAATAATAATTAATGAGAAAAGCATAGCATTTATTTATCTGATCGATTTAAACTGATTTATCAAGATATTTGTTATTGTCAAGAATGAGAGTTTGCATAACATTAGCTATATAACATGGTCTACATATTTGAAAAAGCTACTGGGCAGAGCCAAGATAGAGGTGGTAAGATTTGTGGCAATTTTGACAGGAGACCAGTCAATGGATACTTAAGCTGAAAAGTTGGATGTATCTAAATTGATTAACAAAAAATGGAGAAAAAAAGAAAAAGGAAAGAACTCAACAATTACTCTGCAAATGTTCAGTCCAAGCAAGATTAAGACTTTCCACTATAAAGAAGAATTCTTACTTACGATAAAGAATTCTGGTGAGTATTTCTGACATGGATCTTCAAAAAAAATTTTCTTTATTGAATAATAAATGTTAATAATAAAAATATAAATAATATAATAATAATAATAATATAATAATTTAATAATATAACTTGAGGTTTTAAAACTATGATTATACGCTACTTGGATAGAAGAATATGTTATACATATGGTATATACAAATATGAAGAATATACAAATATATAAAAATCATTGTGAATTCAAAACTAAGGGTTGTCTACTTAAGGGACTTAAGTCAATCATTTTAAAAAACAAATATAAAAATATTAAAGATATTTTAAAACATAAAAAATAGGTTTTGTGGACGTTAAATATAGCTACAAGGATATGTAGGATGTGCTTGTCTCGATATCCAGAAGGATTAACACCTAATAACTCCTTTTGTAGTCTCCCAAATGCCGTAACATTTTAACAGTATATCTGTGTAAAAATTACTTTATTAAAGCATGTACTACATTTAATTGCCAATATATGGCCTGACTGTAGATACCGATTTTTAAAAAGCTTTGTTTAGTTATAGTCCATCTCATATATATGTAAAAAAGTTTGTATATATTTATATAAAAAGTAATTTCTAAATGGCTGATGTTTAAAATATATTGAGCTTAAAGACATACGATATGTTTTAGAACTATTTATAGAAATGTCGTAACCAATTTGCTCTCCAATTATATATCTGATTCTAGTTAAACTTTGTTCCTAAGGCAAATGCACAAACCATCGATCTAATGATAAAACAGACAAAACATGAAATGTAGATAGCTTAATCCTTACCTCTTGTCCCTAATGTATAACATTAATTGATATTATCTATATATATATATGAAATGACAGTGTTGTGTTTTGGAAATAACTATATTATTAGTTTAAAGGAAAAATGTTATTTTCTAATTCATATATTTGAATTGTTTCTGAATGTAAGAGAATGTATTGTACATTTATTTTTTTTACAAAAAAAAAAAAATTAAAATGATATAATTATTTGTCCAAAACTGTTTGCAGAATGGTGACACACCCTTTATAACTACGATTATTATTATTATGAACGATAAATGATAGCGACACGCTTTTTGGTTTTGCAAATATTTGCTTTGACTGAACCAGAAAATTCTATTAATATTATTGAATGAATATATTTTGTATAAAAATAATAATATAAAGTATACTAGGGTATTAATATTTTATTTTCCAATCGAAACATATATAAATTAAAAAAAAAAACCCTTTTGCATTGGTATGGGTGAAGCTTTAATACCCTTTTTAAATATAGTTATGTTATAAATCAGTTGTTTATATTTGGTTAACTTGATTATATGGTATATATAATAGCGAGTTATATTGACAAAAAATTCCAAAGTATATAGATATTTGTACATATGAACTTCTATTTGGCAATTAGAAACTACCATAACTACTAGGAATAACTTACGAATTTTATACACTTCGAAACCTAACCTATTTTGATTCTAGAATATCTTAGATAGTCACAAAATTTCTTTTAAATCTCCTGAACTCATTAGTTCACTTATATTCGGGATGACCTTCCCAAAACCATATTGTCATACCAGGAATATATGTGGAACCTAATCTTATGTTACTTCCAGTATCTGTCATGATTGTGTGAAAGATAACAGGAATCTTCACAGTTCAATATATAGAATCCATATATATATTTGTGGTCAGGTCATTTATAAGTAATTACATGTGTCTGTAATATAGATTCTTCACTGTATTGTCAAAATAATATATCATAATCTTTGGACGAATTGGAGTGGAATTATTGCGACTGAAGTTATAGTATCTTTGCGTTACCGATATAAAGTCGTACACAGGACAAAGAAATTATTCTCCTAAAATTGTTTGAACTTTGATCGAAACATTTGATTTAATGAACCATGTTTATAATAATGATGGTTTTTTGATTTCATTCAAACTGTGCGTGGTCTCAACAACGATTAGTAACAATCTTCATTCAAAAAAGTGGAGCTGGAATTTAATATCTCTAGAACATGAATTAACTTTATATTGAATGAACTCGGGTAACTGAAAAGTTCGATTCACACAAGTTGACTGAACACCAAAAATTTTGATTGTTAATCAATCCTGGTTCTGCATACCTCCCCGAGGAGCCTGTAACCATTTTGAGATTTGATAACGTGGTGTTGGTAAGTCTGTCAGTTTTCGTGAAATAATTTCAAGGCTCTATCCTTTATGTATTTTTTGATAGGATCAAATATTGATTTCATTTAAACTCTATTAAATTTTTTATCCTATCCTAATATACCAACTTCCATTGATTCCCTTTAATAAACAATAAGCGAGTATAACAATTACTCTTAATTGGTAAAAATATATACTTTTTATTTATTTTAATATCTAAGTTTAAGAATTATGTTACATATCTTAAATGCTCTATAATTTGAAAACCAAAACTGAATTGCCAAAATAAATTTCAATATAAAAGCAGTCAATTGACATTCGCAATGGAAATGTAATTTAGCCAGATTAGACAGTAAGTAGAGTACTCCACTTATAATGATTGTGCATTTGGAGATATCATGAAACAAATTTAATTGGGTTAATAAGATACGCATAGGGGATTATAATTTTTTATCAGTTATGGATTCGTTACACATTTTTTATATATATTTGATGTCTATTTTAATAATTCGATTGGCTTAAATGCTTACAATTCTGAATTAAATATTAAAGTTGAATAAAAATTATTAAATCAGTGCTTCCATGATTTATTCCTGTCAGTATATATTTATATATTAATTAGTATAAATAAATTAAAATTAAATCGATAATAAATAAATGATTAAAATAGTTTATAACAGCTGGATAATGGTCTATTTTCAAAATATGTATGGTCCATTATAAAATATAGAGCCAAAGTGGTAATTCACAAATAATATTAGTGAAGGTT